CATCATCATCATCATCATCATCATCATCATCATCATCATCATCATCATCATCATCATCATCATACATCATCATCATCATCATCATCATCATCATACATCATCATCAATATCATCATCATCATCATCATCATCATCATCATAATCATCATCATGATCATCATTAATGTTCCTCCTCCTCCTCCTCCTCCTCCTCCTCCTCCTCATCATCATCATCATCATCATCATCATCATCATCATCATCATCATCATCACCATCAGCACCATCATCATCACCATCTTCTTCATCATGATCGTTATCTTTATCGGCATCTTCATCAGCAGCATCATCACCAACATCATCATCAGCTGCATCAGCATCAGCATCAGCATCATCCACATCATCACCATCATCATCATCACCAGCATCGTCATCAGCATCGTCAGCATCATCAGAATCAGCAGCAGCATCAGCATCAGCACCAGCAGCAGCATCAGCACCAGTATCAGCATCCGCATCCTCATCGTCATCATCAGCATCAACATCATCATCATTAGCATGGGCATCATCAGTACCATCGTCGTCGTCCTCATCCTCCTCCGCATCCTCATCCTCGTTATCATCCTCATCCTCATCATCGTCATCATCAGCATCATGTTCAGCATCATATTCGATATTAGCATCATCATCATCATCAGTGTCAGCGTCAGCACAATCTTCTTCATCATCATCACCATCGTCATCATCAGCATCATCATCATCATCACCATCATCATCATCGTCATCCTCATCATCCTCAGAATCCTCATCCTCATCCTCATCCTCATCCTCATCCTCATCCTCATCCTCATCATCGTCGTCATCATCAGCATCAGCATCATCATCAGCATCATCATGTTCAACATCATATTCGATATTCTCACCATCATCATCATCAGCAACATCGTCTTCATCATCATCCATCATCATCCATCATCATCATCATCATCATCATCATCGTCATCATCATCATCATCGCCATCATCATCAACATCATCATCATCATCCATCATCATCATCGCCATCATCCTCATCATCATCAGCATCATCATCATCATCACACTCATCATCATCATCATCATCATCATCATCATCATCATTACCATCACCATCACCATCACCATCACCATCACCATCATCATCATCATCATCATCATCATCACCATCACCATCATCATCATCATCATCATCATCATCATCATCATCATCACCATTACCATCACCATTACCATCGCCATCATCTCCATAACATCATCATCATCATCATCATCATCATCATCATCATCATCATCATCATCATCATCATCACCATCACCATCATCATCACCTCCTCCATCACCATCGCTTTCACCATCACCATCACCCTCCTCCTCATCCTCCTTCAGCATTTTAGCTCAAGCGATCGCACGGCTGTCGATGTCGGGGGCTCTGATGTCGGCGCCTAGAGGGGCCACCCCCGCCGCGACGCCGCTGTCCTCGTGGACGCGGCGGTGCGGGCGGCGCAAGGCGCTGAAGCGCCTCGGCGCACAGGCGGCGTCGCGCGTGCGGCCGTGGCTGCGGCGGTTTCGGCCGTTGCGGGCCCGCCGCCCGCGGTGGCGGCTGCTGGAGGCGCTGGGGAGCACGGCGACGACGACGACGACGACGACGACGACGACGACGACGACGACGACGACGACGACGACGACGACGACGACGACGACGGGGAGCGCAGGGGGCGGGGGGCGGCTGCGGCTCCAGCGCGTGCTTCTGCGGAAGCGCAGCAGGAGCGGCGCCGTCGGTGCCGGCCTGCGGTTCGCGGGTCGGCGCGCCCTGGAGCGCGGCGGCGGCTGCGGAGGGGAGGGCTCCTGGAGGCGGTCGAGCCCGTGGCGCTCGACGGCCCCGTGGAGGCGCCCCCCTCGGTGTCGGCGCCGGCGACGCGCTCGACGATTCCATGGGCAGACGCGGCGAGGCCGCAGCAGATGCGGTGAGGCGGCCGGAGCGGTGCGCGCGGGCGGCGGCCCGTTCGCTGGGGAGGCCGCGCCTGCAGCGCCGCCTGCGGCCGCGCCCGACCTGGGTGTGGCGGAGCTCGGGCACAGTGTCGCCGGTGCTCTGGCGCAGGAGCTCGCGCCCACGGAGGCGCGGTATGAGCAGGAGCTCGAGAAGCCCCTCCCCCAGTCGGTCAAGGCGGACCTCATGGCTCAGCTGGAGCGTGTTCGCGCTGACGCCCGTGGCAGCGGCCTTCCGAGTTCGTCGTGGGGGAGCCGTTCGAGACTGGGGCGGTGGCTGCGGCGGCGTCCAGAGCGGCGGGGGGCAGGCGATAGTGCCCGATCGGGCCGTCCTCCCCCTCACGCCCCTCGTCTTCGGCTTCCTCGTCCTCGCTGGCACGTTTGAGACCGACGAGACGGTCGGGGACCTGGCGCCTCAGGTGGCGGCCAGGTCCCCGCGCGGCGGCCGCGCAGTCCCGCGGGACTCTTCCCTTCTGGGCTGTCCAACCTACCTGCTTACCTCCTCCTCCTCCTCCTCCTCCTCCTCTTCCTCCTCCTCCTCCTCCTCCTCCAGAGGGCAGCCAGAAGGCGACGAGGACGACGAGACGAGGCCCGAGAAGTGCGCGAGCACAGGGCCGCCGCGGAGCGCCCCCCCCCCCGCGCCCACCGCCGCCGCCGGCGAGGTGGCCGCCCCCGCGAGGCCGAGGCCGCAGCCGTAGCCCCCGAGGCCGCCGAAGCCTGGCGCGGGGCCACCGCCGGGCCCCGCGGCGCGCCCCCGCGCCAGCGCTCGGGCGTCGCGTCGTCGTCCCGACGGGGGCAGTGCAGCGGGGGCCCGACCACGAGAAGCCGTGCACGAGGAACCCAACCCTGAGACCACAGGGCGTCCATTGATTTTCGGCGTGGCAGCGCCACGGCTTCAAACGCAAAACCACCGAAACCCAAGAAACCCAGGGCACCCTGGAGGCCAGCAGGGTGTTTCTTGGCATGGGTTTCCCCTGTACAGTGGGGGCCCGACCACAATAAACCTCCCACAAGAAACCCCTCGCTCTGAGACCAAAGGACGCCCGTTGATTTGTGGCATGGTCGCGCCCCTTCCATGGTAAAACCATCGGAATGCCCAGGAAACCCAGGGTACCCTGGAGGCAAGCAGGATGTTTCTTGGCAAGGGCCTCCACTGTACGTGAGGGGGGGGAGCCGCAAGGTGCACCTTCTTGGGGCACGAGGGGGCCCTGGAGGGCCCCCCCTGGGGCCCCAAAGGGGCACGAAAGGTGTACCCCTCCCGCCCCTCAAGCTTACAGTGGAGGCCAGTCCACAAGAAACCTTCCACAAGAAACATAACCCTGAGACCCCAGGACCTCCATTGATGTTTGGCGTGGGAACGCTGACGCTACGCTTTCCATCACAACCACCGAAACCGAAGAAACCCAGGGCACCCTGGAGGCAAGAAGGGTGTTTTCTGGAATGGGTCTTCCTCTGTACGCAGCAGTCAGGGGGGCAGGGCCCTCGCGGAAGGCTCAGGAGGCCCTGGCCGTCCGAGGAGCTCTCTAGAGCCTTTCTCTGAAGGCCTAGACGTCTTCCGACAATCTCGTCGGTTCCAGGACGTCTTCCAACCCTGGGGTGGTGTGTGGCAGCTGCGCCTCGCCGACAGCGTTCCGGAGGTGTCCGGATCGTCCAGAACGGCCGCGGGAGAGCGGAGATGTGGCTCCCACATAAGTAGGCGGCCGAGAGGAGGCAGGCCTTCTCAGTGAGAAGCTTTGTGAAGCGTCTCCGAAGTCAGAGTCGGCCTCACAGAAGGTTGGAGGGATTTTGAGAAGCCCCGCCGCCTCCTGAGAAGCCGTGCCCCCATCTCACTTCCTCCCTGGGCTGGCCGCCGAGTCGGTCCAGGGAGGAGGAGGAGGAGGAGGAGGAGGAGGAGGGGGAAATGGAGCAGGAGGAGGAGGGGGGGAGAAAGAAAGGAGAAGAGGAGGAGGTGGAGGAGGAGGAGGAGGCGGGACGAAGGAGGAGGAGGCGGAGGAGGAGGATGGGGGAGGAGGAGGAGGAGGAGGAGGAGGAGGAGGAGGAGAAAGAGGAGGAGGAGGAGGAAAAGAAGGAACAGTGTTAAGCCGAGAGTCATCAACGATGTTGGAATTCACCCTCCCTCCAAATTCCCTTTTCGTAAGTCCCCACAACGGTTCATTTCCATTGAGGGAACTGCCTCGTTGGAAGACAACCGTTTGAAGATACTGAAGCTTGCCAAAACATTATTCTCGGGATTTCAACGCCACGTATCAACCTGACTGCTGCGTCTTGACGATCCGGAATCGTGCCAAAGCGCCATTTTTGGGACTTCAACATCGCGAATCAACATAACTGTTGCACCCGCATGATCCTGAATCCTTCCAAAACGCCATTTCTGGTACGTTGATCATGGGGATTAATGAAATTCTTGCAAATGTTCAAAACGAATGTGCGCGGCGCTAAGGCGAGAACCACATCTTGAAAAGGAACCCCCCTCAATCCGTGAGACTCTTGCAAATGTTTAAAACGAATGTGCGCGGCGCTAAGGCGAATGCCACATGTTGAAAACCACCCGCCCTCAATCCGTGAAACTCTTGCAAACTTTCAGAACGAATGTGCGCGGCGCTAGGGCGAGAACCACATTTTGAAAACCACCCACCCTCAATCCGCGAAGCTCTTGCATAAAAAACCAATGTGCGCGGCGCTGAGGCGAGAACCACATTTTGAAAACCACCCGCCCTCAATGCGTGAAGCTCTTGCAAAATTTGAAAGCGAATGTACGCGGCGCTGAGGCGATAATCACATTTTGAAAACCACCCGCCCACAATCCGTGAAACTTTTAATGTGTTGCTGCTTCTTGTTTAAAAAACGAATGCGCGCGGCGCTAAGGCGATAACCACATTTTGAAAACCACCCGCTCTCAATCCGTGAAACTTTTGCATTTTATAGAATATATATATATATAATTTTTAATATAATTATATATTATATATATATAGAATATATATATATATATATAATATATATATTATAAAAAAAACAGACAAAAAAAAAAAAAAAAAAAAAAAAAAAAAAAAAAAAAAAAAAAAAAAAAAAAAAAAAAAAAAAAAAAAAAACGAATTGTGTTGCGCCCAGGCTGCAGGGGAACTACATTTTGAAAACCACCCTTCCTCAATCCGTGAAACCCTTGCAAATGTTTAATGCGAATGTGCGCGGCGCTAAGACGAGAGCCACATTTGAAAGCGACCCACCCTCCATCTGTGAAACTGTTGCCACTTGTTAAGCTTCAGAATCATAAATGGTGAGGAATTCTAAGGCGAAACGCCCGACCCGCTCGAAAAACTGGCCTCGGGGTGCGACAGGGAGGAAATATCTATAAGGAGAAAAAATGGAGGAGGAGGAGGAGGGGAAGGGGGAGGGGGAGGGGGAGGAGGAGGAGGGGGATTTTTTTTCAACATCAACCGCAGAGGAGGCCGACAGGTTGAATCAGCCTGGGCTGAAACAGAGCTGGCGGAAGCGGACCGAGGCGGTGGCCGACGCGAGCGGCGGGCACCCCAGGGGCCGAAGTCAGTCGGAGTCGTCAGACTCCGCAGACCTTACACGAGCAGCTCGGACAAGACCCGCACTCTCCTCCTCCTGGAGGCGGAACCTGACTCGTCGGAGCTGCTCCCTCCCTTCCCCCCCCTTTGGGGGGGAAGGGGAAAAGGGGCCCCCCCACACCCGCCGCATTGGGAGGGGAGGGGGAAGAAGAAAGTCCCAGACCTTGAGGCGGCCCAGTCGGTCCCGCCTCGTCCCCTTGGTGCTGACGAGAGGACGGCGGGACGACTGGGGCGGGCGGCGCGGGCGGCGCCTGGAGGTCGGCAAAGAGGGCCACCGCGGCCTCCTCCTCTGCCTCAAAATCATTGAACGGGCCTGTGGGCCCATCCTGCTGCCTGGGCCCCTCGCCAGGTGCCTGAGGAGGAGGAGGATCGGGGGGAGGGGTCGGGTCGACGGGTGGCCCATCCGACGTGGTCTCTGGATCGTCCAGCCCCGTCGATAGGCTAACACCCGACTTGGGGTGCTTCCCCTTTAAAATCTGACTCCACGCATGCCTCCTACCATGATCAGACTTACACTTGGGGTCAGGGGGGCCACAGCACGGCTTGCCGAGATTCCTGACCTGCCCACCGCACGTATAGTAACAGCAGCGGGTGCAGGCGACGAGCATGCCCCCTCCCTGATTCACATCAAAATAGATTGGTCTGTGCCCATGGTCCAGCAGCCCTTGGCCAGAGATCCCTTTGATGGTGGCCGCGCCTCGGCACCGTCCAGGGTGGGGCTTCTGGGGGCCTCGGGCACACCGAAAGCACGAACTACAAATCCAGAACCTGCCTTCCCAGGACCAGGCATGAGAAGGGAGGGGAGGAGACCTCGAGGAGGAGGGGGGCTTGGTCCTGGAGGCCTCCGAAAGATCAAGCCTCGGCCAGAGAGACATGACCCGTGCGGCGAGCCTGCAGACCGCCCTCGCAATACGCGCCGAGCGCGCGGCCCGCTCCGCGTCCACAGGGGCGGGGGACGGATGTCTCAGGGCGGCGAGGCGAGCGGCCTGGTCAGCAGTGTCATTGCCTAGCTTGTGGGCCCTCACCTCATCTGAGAGGTCGGGGCTGTCGAGGACATGCCCCTTGACCTTACTGACAGCACTGGCGATAGGGCCCAACGCTTGGAGCATAAAACCCGCATACGGACGGCGAAAAGACAGCCGCGCTGGGATAGGGTCGAGAGCGGCGCTGACCACATTCTGACAGTCACTGTAGATGTGACTGCCCTCTACCCCACACTGGGCGGCAATACAGTATGCGGCATACTCAGAAGCTTGAGAAGTCTGGGGAAAGTGGGCCAGGAGCGGCCCAGAGATAACACACAGCACTTCTCCCGCTTCTGAGACGCTAACCACAGACCACCCCGCCCTGGAGAGCTCAGGAGACACATTCCTAAAACAAGAGCCATCTACATATAACCTACCGCTGACGGAGGTGCTGGAGTTGTACGGGTCCCCAGTCCAAGACACCTGAATCCCAGAACCAGGGCCATCAATTTCATGCGCTGGACGGGGAAGGTAGTCTCCTGGGTGTACATATAGACCACGGGTATACAGTAGGTACTGCTCGGGGTCACTCTGCTCCGAGAGGTCCAGGGGGGGGGCAAGCCAAGCATCCTTACCTAGTACTTCCCTGCGTATATCTTCACAGGAGGAGGAGGAGGAGGAGGAGGAGGAGGAAGAGGAGGAGGAGGAGGAGGAGAAAGAGGAGGAGGAGGACCCTCGGTCCTTCGACCCTCGGCGCGCCGCCGGAGGGTGGCCCCTAGCACGGGGTCGAGCAGCGGGCGGCCGTAGCCCCCGATGCCGCCGCCGAATTTTGGCAGGTCGAGTGCGAGCCGCGCGTGCCGGAGGAGGAGGAGTGGCCACACGTACGCTGTTGCAGAAACCGCGAGAGCGCGTTTGGCACGGAGATGCTTGCCCTTCCAGGCGGCCACTGCGATGATGCCGAGAGCTTGCGCAATCTCATCCTTAGGAACCTGAACAAGGGCCCTTCCCAGCAAGAAAAGCGGGGCTGGGGGCCAAGGTGGGGCTGGAGGAACGTCGCCCCATCCCCTGGAAGAAGGAGATGTGAGCCTCTGGCGCGGGTCCCTGCCCA